GGATGGTACCCTACCCCAGCTCTGGGATGGCCCAAGGCAAGTAGTCTTTATTTGGGGTCCCTAAAGTACTCCTTGCATCCTCCGTTCATATGTTAAATACCTCACAAGTGAAATATCCCCAAAGGTGCCCTGTTCATTAAAAATAATATAGTCATAATTATTGATAATATAATACATCAATTATTATAATTAACAACATAACATTACACAATATATTATAACAATCATTATACTAATATTTATTATTAATAATAAATAATATATTAATAGTTATTGATAATATAATGCATTAATTATAATATCACAGTACTGTATAATATAACAACTATTATATTAGTAACAATATTATTGTTATTAATAATAAATAATATATTAATAGTTGTAACAGAGATATGCTGATTGATATTGACTAACTGAAATAGCTTAAGGTGGCAGACTGGACTTCTGTGGCCCCAAGGGCCTTTGAGATAGCATCTAAGAGCCATGTGAATCACAGAGCCACCTCTCCCTAGCACTGCCATAAGCCAGACCCCGGTGAAAGAGTCCATGGCAGTAGGGGGAACAGGGCTCCTGGCTCTGGGCAGCAGGCAGAGTTTATACATTCATTGCTTGATCAGGCTTCATTTCCTTGGGGACTCCACCATCTCTTAATCACAAAGGCAATAAGGGTTTCTAGTTTGTTCCTTTGCTGTGCCTAATCAGTTGTTCCAGCTGCCAGTCACCAGCCCTGTCTGGAAGTTCACTGAAAAGCCCCCTTCGAGCTTTGGAGACAGCACTGACCCCCAAGGTGACACCAACAATGAAAGCTGCCTCCAGGGAAGTCTGTGTCTGGTTGATTTGATCACAACAGTTTTGTTAATGCTGTGCTGTGTTCTGGAGGGCTCCAGTCTCTTCTGTATGCTTTGATCAATAGGCCGCATTGTACACTCCACTGGTTGAGTTGTGGAAATCATTTTGAGTAAGTACGGAAATATTTTTTCCCTTTGTGAATAACCTCATAGTTCCACCCCAGCATGGAGAGTTTCTTCCTAAGATTGGAAATCCCTTGGCAAAGACTGTGCATTTGTCAGTGAGCATATGCTAAAGCAGGCAGGTCTGTGAGAAGCCAGCAGGTATTGAAACTTAAAACACTAAGAGTTAGCACCTGCTTTATGCAAAGAAGGTATTGGAATGTTTTGTTCAAATGAATGAAGGAGCAATACTTGGAGACTATATACTTAAGAGTATAGCCTAGATGTTTGGTTTGGTAAGGTTAGACATTCCTGGAAATCACTGTGGACAGCAAAGACATTTTCTGGGCCATGATAGCAGTTTCTGCGACTTGTGGGTCCTTGATAAAGGCCAAGGATAGTTAGTTCCCATGCCTGTAGCTAGCTGACTTCAGAGAGTTGTCCTTTGGGTGTACATTAGAAAGCCAGGTGTGTTTCTCTTATTACTTATCTTCAATTTCATGTCATTATTTTGGTCATAAGTAATATCTGCAACTAGCAATTATACCCTGGACTCTGCAGGCAGACTCTTCTGTATACACATTGATAATTAGTTTCTTTCAACTAAGGCCTAATCTCTCTATAATTCTGATAAAATCTCTGTAATTTTCATCACATATATTACAACACAGAAGTAAGTGATTGGCTTTCTTTTGCAGAAAAGTGATTGATTATGCCCTATGTAAGAAACTGTTCAAAAACCTTCAAATTCAGACTTTAAACTGAAGCCTGAGGCCCTCTATTTCTTCTTCTCATGGGGTGCCTCATAGGGGATCTTTTTCTATTTCAGTATTATGAATCAGTTATAGCTATAAAGGGAAGGACTGTGGACATGTGTTTGACCTCGGAGCTTGTAACACTTGGAAAAAACCAATCCGTAGCCAGTCACTTCAAATACCTTACCCAGCACACCTTCTCAACCACCACCTCTCCCTGGCCATTGTAGTGTACCTTCATATAGCTTGGACAGTCCTTTCCTCAGTTTACCATTGTACTCCTGGCTTTCTGCCCTAAGACTCCTGGATTTCTTGAGGTTAGGCCTCTGAGGCATGAATCTGCTTACAAATCTGAGAGAATTAACACTTCCCTGGGTCAACCTTTGATCAGAAAAGGACAGAAATTGTTGGATAAAATTTCTACCTCTATACTAGAGCCCCAAGATATATTTTATTGGCATTTTGATTATCTTTATTCATTAAGAAAGCAAACATGAATTGATGCGGTTGGAGATAGCAGATCTTATTTTATAGTTTATCCCAGGACCAAGTTTTGTGTCTGTCATATGATAGCTACTTCATAACTATTTGTGGAATGATCGGCACCTTAGAGAAGTACATAAAGAGGCCAGGGTTGTAGCTCAATGGAAAATCACTTTCTTAACAAGCATAATGTTCTGGGTTCAGTCCCCAGCATGAGGAGGGAGAGGGTGAGGGAGAGGAAGGTGAAAATAGTAAAATAAGCATGTCAAAGTAGAGGACTTAGCAAAAGTACTAAAGTATAAACTGTTGTAATTAATTTGGAATGTGGTCACCTACCTGTTTGGGTAGAACCACAAGTTAGTGTGTATTGGAACATTGTTAAAAGGTCAACCTTAGTAAATCTTGGTATTTTGATAGAATTAATGCATACGGGTATTTCTCCATTTTTAAGCTGAAACCCATTCAAGGACAGTAGTACAAAAATGATAGAATAACTAATATATATGTGTATGTATACATATAAAGCAGACTCATCATTTAAAATAATGTTGGATGGTCATGAGGAATCAGAAATTTTGAGTCAGGTGTAGATTAGAAGAAATGACATATGACAGGTAGGATTGTAGTTGGGGGTGGTAGGGGAGGAAGGGAGGGAGAAGGGAACTGGGATCATCATGTAATTCAATCTTGTTTGTAATTCAAATATATAAAATTAAAAAAATAATGTTGGATGGATAGATGATGGATAAGCAAACAATAGGTGGTTGGTTGTGACTTGGCTAGGAGAAAGGATAGTTCCTCAGCAACTCCTCACTTTGAGTGACAGGCCATATTGTGGTGCCATATTGTTTAGCTTATTTAATTGTAGCTAATGTGAAATCAGCAGTTACTGCAAACCTTTGGGAAACACCCTATTTTCTGCTGAACCATAGAGTAAAGCATAGCATGAGCAACCAAGTTTCCTATTGCCCACTAGGTTGCTAACAGCAAGGCAGTGTGTCCCTTGTGATAAACATAAACACATACAAACAAAAATACCTCTAGGGGTACATAAGTGAAGGGTATATTCAGCACCAATTACAAAATAAATGAGAGCTGTTGTTTCTATATTTAAGCAGAATTATTTTTCAAGGTAGCTATGCTTTCATGATGTTTGTGTGACCTATTATTCCATTAGTTTTTAGAACAGTATATAAAATCCACACTCCATGCTGACAAACACCAATATTGAAACTATTGCTACAGTCAATCCAAACAGCCTTCTCCCTTGGTCCACATTATTATTTGGAATACAAGCAGAATTGTGGTTCCCTGAGCCAGCAGGGCACAAATGAGGGCAGTGATTCATAAGGTGACTCCAGCAAGTTTGCAAATGTGCAACTTGCATGCAGGCTGACACGCACAAGAGAAGCTTGGGGTTGACTTTTTGAACTAGTAAGCACTTCCTGGCCTCACTACCACTTTAGGACCTAGAGGACTATGGAAGGGTGAAGGTTTCTGAGGATACGAGTAAGCCTGACAGAATGCTGATTTACCAGAAATAAACCCTTCACATCAGATCACACCCATGTCAGGAGCTTTTTGAGCGGGAAGATGGTAATTCTGCCTCTTCACATGCTCCCCTAAGTCCTTGAACTCTTATTCCATTGGATTAGTCTTTTGGGGGCTGGGTCACCCGGGGTCTTAATTCTACCCTGGTGAGGTTGGCTGAAAGTGATACTGGTCTAAAAATACAACTCCCTGAACTTTTAAACCTTCAAATCTTTTTCTGATAATATGACTTTCTTAATCCTGAACTTGATTTCTTTAATTAAAAAAGATCCATTTGTTCTTTGATATTGGTAAAGTTCAAAAGGAGCAGGACTGGGCACACAGCAGTGCTGTGTGCAAGGAAGGAAGAGGAGGAGAGCCAGTAATGATGCCGCCTGATTGCAGCCTAATGATATGTCTGCCGAGTAGGTCCCCCACACTAAGGTCCTTCCTCTCTGATAGACTTTGAAAGTGACAAGCCCTGGTTATCAGATGACATGGTTCCAATTAGCTGATGTAAATGGGCACGCAGGCAAGTTTGAGGTCAGATACAGCTCTCAAAGGTGAGGCTGCCCCAAGAACGGGGCTGAGACTCACCATTAGTGTGAGAGTGGCAGTGTTGGTGGGGGGAGGCACCCAGAGCTGTGTATGAGGGCCAGCTTTTCCTATTTTGTCATCTTAGATGAGGACTTCTTTGGAGAAAGAACAAGAATATTCATCACACCATCAAAGAAATGCCTGAGTATTCTAGGCTCTTAGTTAAGGGTATGGGACCCTATGCTGTGACAAGTTATGTGGGTTCTGTTAATTTTACAATGACTATGGAGGGACATGACCCATAGTGTCTAACTACACAGTGAGAAGGAGCAGAAGGCCTGTCTTGTGCCCCTAGCAGTCAGCTGACTGAACATGCCATCATACAACCATGACACGAAAAGGCACAGACACGAAAATGTTTTCTTAGAAGCCAACAGCACAAGATGGAGTAATTGTGATGACCATTTAGGAAGCTGGCAGGGCACACAGCACTTCAGAGACAAAGGTGAGCCTGGAGCAAGCCCAGCTGGAGCTCCTGAGATGGTGCTGAAGACGCAAGAGCCAGGGAACCTGTTCCACCATAGAAACAAAAGCTATGTGTATCCACGAAGGGGAGAATTGTTCCCTAAAAGGCACTCAGAGAAAAACAAACAAGCCCCTGAAATATGCCTGCTGTCAGCCTTGGTGTTTAAATGTGGCCTCTTTCGTGGCACCTTCTCATGCTGCCTCTCTCTCTTGATTTCAGCTCCCATTTTTGCCAGCAATCATCCAAACCGAAGTGCAACAGCTGCTGGGGCCGTGCCACCCCCACATCCTGTCAGTCACCCTTCTCCGGGACATAATGTACAGGGGAGCCCCCACAACCCCTCCTCCCAGTTACCTCCACTCACAGCTGTGGACGCAAGCACCGAGAGGTAAGGCCATCTGTCTCTCTCTCATAATAGGTGTTACCGCCAAGAGAAGAGCTCCGACAGCCGCTGAATTTTATTAATAATCCGTTGGTGGGTTGAGTTACCCAGGGGTGACATTTTAAAAGTAACATACACAAAGCATGTGGACCAAATACCTCATTATCTGTTACATTTTTTTATAACAAATGAAATGATACTGGCAGTCAACAGCAACTCAAGTGTCAGGAGCTAGAAAATGTATCACAATGTCCCATCTTTGCCACAGCACCTTGTGTCAGGACTCAGTTTTCAGTGAGTTGAGGGGCTGGCTCTCCAGATACAAAAAGTGCCATGGTCACATAGATAGCAATATAAGTTTATGTAATAGGAAGCTTTCCATTATTGACAAAAATGTCTGAAAAACAGTAAACATACAAGTAGGGTTTGGTTCACTGTTTCAGTGATTTCACCCCATGGTCACTGGGCCTTGGGTTCATCAGGGTGGGAGTCTGTGGCCGAGAAGGCCTGCTCACCTCATGGTGGCTAGGAAGCAAAGAGAGAAGCAGGAAGGCACTACATTCTCAATTTCTCCTTCAAGGGCATGTCCCCAGCAACCTCACTTTCTGTCACTAGACCCCACTTCCTTAGAGTTCCACTTCCTCCCCAACGAGCACATCAGGATAGTAACCCAGAAAATGTGTCAACACACAGACCATGGGCAATTGTTCAAGATTCAAACTGCAGCACCTTGGGAAAAGATGACAAAGTGACAGAAAATATTATATGACTGTCAGGAAGCTACTGTTCACTCAATACTTTTGTTGGTATCATCCTCAGAAAGTATTTCTATGGGAAAATCCCTGAAAAACTGAATATTCCATTTTTATTTCTGAATCTTCCTATGGCTTTATCTGTTTGGGGCTAGAGGTGGGTTCTCATACCTCTGTTTCCTAGGTGCATCTGTTTCAATGAACCACAAAGCCAGTTTCTCCATGAGTGAAAGGCATGGTGGCATAGGCATTGAGAGCAAAGGAAGTTTTCTCTATACAGATAAAAGGGGGCAGCATCTCAGACAGCAAGGACACCTGCAAAATGAGTAGGAAGAGAGGGCTTGCAGCAAGCAAAACGGTCTTGACCACTCAGGGTAGCACCATGCACATGGATGATGACTGGGTGATGACGGGCTATCTGACTTCTGTGGAGCCATGTGTTTTAAACTGAGGAGTTGCCCTTATCCTACTGGAAGTAAATAGCCATTGTTAGAAGAAACATGCAATGAGGTTGACTTTATAGAGGAAGGACTCTGCATAAGAGAGCAGTTGTCAGTTGGAACAAGAGATGGAAGGGTACAACGTGAAGCCATTTCAGGTTTCCTTGTGAACAATATGATGCCTTGGAGTAAGACAAACAAGTAAGAAGAATTCACTCAAGGGCTTAATTAGGAAGCAGATTTGTCAGAGAATAAAGAACAGAAGCCAAGTCCATGCCCAAGTTGTCTCTGGAAAACTGTGCCTTTAACAAAAGTTGAAAAATTAAAAAAAAAAAAAAAGAGTAGGAAATGAATGTCAGAGAATGACTTTTATGAGATTGTAAAAGAACCACATGTGGACGTATGCAATGATTAGAAATGGGAATCAGAAGGTAAGAATTATTTTAACAGCCATGTGTACATGGTAAAGTACAGCCTCCCCTCAAAGGAACTGTCAGCAAAACCACGCCCATGCTCACCACCCATTACATTCATGGTCGTTGGAAACAAAAAATCTATTCTTCAGTTACCTGAGCTTATCTATTTCAGTTTTACAGTTTTACAGTTTCCAAATGGACTAAAAGTGGTGTTCATCATAGAGCTCGCACTAGGCTTCTTAGACAAACACATGGTACCTTGGTGTGACTGGGGAATTAGGGTTGGCATCTAGACAATGTTCCATGATCATGATGACCCATAGTGTAAGTAACTATGGAGAGATAAAGGAAGAAGGGAACAGGACAACACAGGAGCTCTATGTGAATGAGTGAAATAGAGACGTTTGCACTTTTTCAGGTTTTTGTTGCTGCATGTCCTTGCCACAGGATATGTGCTCTGACCCTACACCTCACTAACTGGACTGGGCAAATGTGAGATGTGGCTTATCTCTCCCAATCAGGTTGGAGAAGAGGATGACATGAAGAAGCCCTGAATTATTCACTGTATTTGCACTAGGGACCAGGATGAAAAGGCAGAGAGGAAATGGGCTTACCTTCCGTTCTGGGTTTATACATCTTTGCTCTGTTTGCCTGGGAAATCCCCCAGTAAAAACTCTAGCAGCTTTCTTAACGGAAACAGGTTGATCACACTTTGCGTTTTTAGTGGGGCACTGGCATCTTTTCCTGCTTCGCAGGCATTGATTCATCATTTACTTAGCTTTAGCTCATTAATAAAGTGGGCTGAGTCACTGTCAGAAGTCAGAAAAGGCCCCCAGCAACTGCCCATCTAAAGTCAAGTCCTTTGATCCTGACCATCGTAAAATAAATGTAATTCTCTCAATTTGATGAGAGTCTGTTTTTATTTTTAAATACTAACTGAATGACACATCATTTCAGGGATTTGAGCAGTGCCACAACACATCCCTGATGTTGATTTGAACTTCTTAAGGGAAGTGGTGTTTTCCTATGTCATGTTGCTTGAGCCACCACCAGGACTTTATGTGTATGACAGTGGCTTCCCTTGAGAGAAACTCAGTGTCTTTGGAAGTGTTAAGTCTTTGGGCATTATTTATGTATGTCTGTTACACCAACAAATCACAAAAATATGTATGGGTGGCCACTTTGAACTGGAAAAATCTTTGTAACCTTAGTCTGTGTCACTCACTTTGCAACAGTGTCAGCTGACTGTCTTCCTTCTGAAGGTCACGCAGGGTACACTTTGTAGTACAGTGACAGGGATGGGCTGAGAGCTAAGGACTCTCCACAAAGGAGGGTCTTGCAGAAGCTTTCCTGACCTCCACTTCTGAGACACAGAAGATTGAAACAAAAGTAAGGATTGGTTTTCTTTGCAGAATGTGTAATCTGGCACAGGAATTAAGACCCGAAAATATTAGGAATCATTGTTTTGGAAAAATAGTTAAATTGCCTTTACCAAATAAAAAAATGCCAGTTTCTCAAGTCTTTTATAATATGTTATTTCAGATGTGGCGTTGCTAGAATTCTAGGCATTTGGATATATGAGGGCTTGTATGTCATTGACCATCCAAAGCTAATCCTCATTGCCATGTTTTAACTCATTACTGGAAACTTGGTACTGTCTACCTAGATGCTGAAGGTCAAAGAGTCACCATCTCTCTGAATTGTTTTTGCAATTAATAAAGCTCTCCATTCTAGGCAAGCCAGTCTGTTCACCACTTTATACGTTGTTTTCTCAATGGCATGCCTTAACTTAGCCTTTCCAGCTGTTATATGCAGCCTTCCGTTCTCAGCCCAGAAAACCTGCTCCCTCTCAGGTCAGAGGCTGACACCCCTGTAGAGCCCCTTGGTTCTTAGGATCTGTTTTATCTATCTTAGATTTGATAGTATATGCACCAGCTAGAGCTGAGTTTGATGTTGGGAGGGCAGAGGCCTTGTTTCCTCATAACCTTCAGAGTATTTTTCTCTGAGTTACACGATGGTGCATGTTGAAGAAGCTTTAACAATGGATAAGGAAAATTGAGGAAAATGCCTGGGAGACAGGAAGGCATTGCCTACCCACTGTCCCAAGGAAGCTTCCCATAGTTTTCTCTTGGATTTTTGTTTTGTGTTTGTTAGAAGGCAATGGCTTTGATTCTTAATGCTTCTGCCATCTTATACCTCTTGCAAACTTTGATACAATTCCTGGGTACTAGTCTACCATGCATATAGGCATACACTAAGAGATACGGTGTTTTCTGTGACCATCACTACTAGAAAACTGGTACTGTGGTCTCTTATTTGCATATCTAGCATCAGAATATATCAAAACAAACCCTGTTGCTTTCCTAATCTTGCTCCTAAGCAAACAGGGATCTTGGTGTCTTCAGCTACATAGCTTTTCCATAGCCTCATATGCATTATGTATAATCTTCATTCTCCCTTCTTAATCTCCTAGTATATATATTCAGTAATCTTAAAAAATGTAGCAAGATGTTAAAGCTTATCAAGATCTATCCTAGCCCTGGGGACTCTGTGGTTCATGGAATCTTTCATTGGACTATGATTTATGAAGCATGAGATAGGCTGGACACTGACTACACCATGGGAAACATGATAAATAAGAGCCATACCTTCTCTGCACACTGAGTCTAATGGGGGCAGCCAAGCCAATAGGCTGTGATAATTTAGACAAGGGAAGGGTGATACAACAGCTTTGAAGGCACAGAGCAAGAGCTTCTGTTCTCAAAATGAGGGAAGAAGTAATGTGCCCCCCCACCTCCAAAGGCACTAAAGGTGGTTGTAAATGTCAAGAGAGAAGATAACAAGCATGGGCGGAGCTGAGCATGTCACTAAGAGTCACCCTATATTAGCCACATTAAGTAGTTTCATCTTCCTCTGGAGAACAAGAATTCATATGTTCACCCAATAGGAAACCGTGGTGACTATACCGTTTGTTCTAAATGTGCCTGATATTCATCCACAATAAATTCAGAATGTCTTCCAGAAAAAATGACAGGAAATGGGAAAGTGTTTCATTTGGTCTCAGTCAGACAAAGGCTGTCCTCTGTAACTCTTAGATTAATAAGTCAGCACTGTGAGATTGATGTTATTTTATTTCCTAGTACAATTTGAAAGGATAGTTTTGTTCTTTGCCATCCCAAGCTTTTATCCTAGACATTTATGGTTTACCGGGTCTTTGAAGACTCCCTGAGTGTCAAAAAAATAAAATGAAAATTCTCTCTGTTAGAGACAGAGTATAAAGGTCTGGGAATCAGAGGCACTGGTTGGCCTCACTTGTCTACTGTATTAGAGGAGAGTTAACTTCTGCTAAGAGCTCTCCACAGGACTGTGTGTTTCCTCACATAGCTGCAGGTTACTCG